AAATACTTACATGTTTCCAGCATCACATATTCCACACACTATGAAAGAACATTCTCCATATCTTCTCTTATTTTAAATCCCACTGTTACTTCGAACAATAGTAAACCTGCAGGGCACACCAATCGGATCACAGTAATGACATTTGAATCAAGTGTAGGCCTATGTCTTCTTTCTGAACATTTATTTATATTGTCTAAATTCCTTGTCTATGATGTGCAAACAGTTCGAGTGTAAAATGTGTTTTGCACAATGTATTTACACTCTACAGATTCTTGAGTTTACTCATCTCCTGGTGCTGTCATTGTAAAAAATGTTCAATCCCTTATTGTTTTGTACCAGTTTTCCAAAATCAGTTCTAATTAATATACTGGGAACGTGCTTCCCGTCTTCAATACCGGCCAGCAATGTAATGATTAAACTCTAAGCTCGCAGAAGTTTCAAGGGTGTGATACCCCCTTTCAGCCACTAGATGGCAGCAGCAGAAGTTTCAAGGGTGTGATACCCCCTTTCAGCCACTAGATGGCAGCAGCAGAAGTTTCCAGACAAAGGGAAACGCTCTCCCTCGATGTAATATATAACAGACCTCTGGCTTTAAGCTTTTAGCATTGGTCTGTTATTTAAACCCCAGTTTTAAACGGCGACTCGATCTGATATATCGAGTTTCCAGGTTTTGTCGTGCAGGAATCAAACCTCGCATTCAAACAAACTGCACCATCTCCACGCCACTCAGGAATAAACTACCTGCAGATCCACGCCAAACTGCTCTATTTTACGTCACGCAGGACTTTCGTCTACCTGTCGATCAACGTTTACGTTTTGTATATAACTTTCCTAACATAGTAAAATATGCATTGTATATTTCATTTAAACTATAAAAACACTGTGAAACGCCTACAGACAATCCTAAAGTTTTAGCGTATCCAATTACAGACAGGCGACTTTCATCGTCTGCTTACCTTATTTGCAAAGTTGCAGAGTCCTGCTGATTGTCTGAGATGTTTGAAAGCGTCTGAATTCTTCCTCAGCTTCGTTATATCTAGACGTCGGGTCACCATTTTGTTGGAGATTTAAAGGGATATCTGATCCGCTTTTCAAATCTCCACGCGTTCCTATGAAGCTGGTTATAATACAGGAAGGAATCCATATCTACAAAGTAACCGTTAACAATAATCTACTTTAATGGCAATATGACAATGCAATACAATCATTACAATACGACATGATATATTACAGTTATATTGTAATGCTTAAGGAGTAATGCCGGCTTACTCCTGCCCTGGTTCGCGTGCTGCAGAGATCCTTCCGCTCGGGCAGCATGTGAAGAGAGGCCGAACGCCAGGGATCCACCGGATATATACCAGAGTAAGAAGGAGGGGTTTGGTGTTAGCTCAGCTGGTCATCTTTTCAGGTCATCTCATTGGGAGACGCAACGCTGGCCAGCAGGAAACCAAACAGGCTCACTTTACAACAAAAGGTCTCAAGGCCTGCATACCTACACCTCCCCCACAGAGCAATAAAACCCTGTTTACTCCAACCAGCCCAGAATGTTTATAGCCATTTGTAGTCCTTACATTTATGAAAGGATAAAACAGAGAAATCAATATAAAACACAAACACAGGTATTGTTTGAACAGTATTCACTTAACTGCTACTATTGATAACCACCAGAGAAACCCAAGGGACCTCTCTTAATATCATAACCACTGTAGCTCGTTCTAAGTTGAATGCAAATCAGGACATGCTCTCACCTTCCCCCATCTTCCTTTGTCCTCAAAAACACATGTCAACAGGCCCCAAATGCAGCTCACAGTTTTACCCAAATTATTCCCATTTTAAGCTTATCCATAGTTTGCTAACATGAATAAATACAAATATAACTCTACACGCTGTATCCAGTTCTTATAATACATCCATGGTGTGTATCGCAATGATGCTCAAAATGGGTCTTATAGGCCTACGTCTATTTCCGGTGACTTTATTTTGAAATTCAGTTCCTGAGGAACAGCAAAAAAGCCAGAGATTATCGAATTAAACAAATAAATAAAAACAAGGATAATTGTGTGTTATTGTTGAGTAAATAACAGTGTGTTATTTAGAAAAGAATAACAAATTAGAAGGAAAAACAGATTTAAAAAAATGCAGATTTCAGTATTCTGAGGCTCTGAGCCACATTTATTTCCCTCGCGGATGGCAAAAAAAAGTCAGACATTATACGATTTAAAATAAAAACAATAATCGTGGCTTGATATTGAGCAAGAACATGTTTTTATGAACCACACAGCTTCCCCTGACCGGACAAAAAGACGTGGTGCAGGCATGAAACTTACTACCAATAGAAATACATTGCTTTTCAAATCGTTCTGTGTGACAAGAAAAAAAGGGGAAAATCGTGTTGGTGAACACGAATAAATAGATTAAATGTCGTGACTATAACATGAAATGCCGAGAGACTGGGTTGAACATTTGCTATAGTAAGCCCTTAACAAAGTGTCCTTCAAACAAGTAGTTTGACCATATGTCTGCTAGTGATACTGTAAATAGATAATTACTTTCTACCTGTCTCTATCAGACTGTTAGCCTGTTTTCGTCTGAGATGAATGATCTATTTTCTTGTTATGTATTTAAAACTTTTTGACAAGTTAAGTTTATCTAAAATAATTTCCGTTTTAGTCTTCCCTTTCCAGAGTTTACCCTCCATTTCAAATACCTCAAGTTTCATTATGGGACAAGATTCGGAAGAGAACAAAACAAATGCTGTAATATAGAAAGCAGTTCCTTGAGCTACGTGCTAATAAAAATGCTTACCTGCTAAAGTTGATCATTTTAATGTGTTAGCATGCTAACAGTGGCACAACACATGAAGTAGCCTTTAACAGGATATGAAAAATAGAAGACCATCACTTATAAGTCTTATAGAGTAGGCTCAAATATGCTCTCTTCTAAGAATGTTAATAGTTTGAGGTTTAGAAATCTCCCTTCTGGAGATCAGAAAGCTAATGCCACATATCATCCTGCAATCTTCTCACCCCCACCTCTCCTCTGCACAGATGAGAAGAACAAGAAGAACCTCCCCCAGGACTTTGACATCGACATGGATAACCCGGAGACGGAGAACGCCGCTGTAGCCATCCAGTCTCAGTTCAGGAAGTTCCAGAAAAAGAAGCAGGATGTGAAGTGAGGACGCTGTCAGCTGCGTCTCCCTGCATGTCATGAACTGCACCGTCATTAAGTGAAGAGGAAGGGGGGGTGGGATTCTTGAAGTTGGAGGTCTGGGATTGGGGTAGTCTGAGGATAGTGTATTTGTGAATGTCTCTGTGTAAATATTAACTTATCATGACTAGTATATCCAAAAACAAACAAACAACCGCTGGATGTGCATTTCAATATTTCCCCACACAGGTAAACTGTACAAGCGCACACAGTTGCATGCAAGCTTGCGCACATACAGAAATTGTAAAAACTGTAGAGATGTGCAAGTTGATTCACTTACTACCAACTTGTTATGGTTAGCAGATGTGACTGCTATTGTCCATTATACTGTACACAGTTTGTAAAGCATGTGCAGTACATCACATTAAAATGGATTTGTAACCATATTGCAATATTTTATTGTATTTTGGATTATTTCTGAACTCCTAAACTACATTTGTAATTATCATTATCATGTGTTTTACACATTGCTTTTGATGTGCAATATTGCGAAATCTAATGGAATAATCCCATTGTTTTTTTGTCGATGGAGCCCTTGTGATGTGACTTCTGGGTCGGCTAACAAAAGTACATCATCCCTGCTCAACTCAATAAGTTGGGCCAAGTGCTTCTATGTCATGTCAAAAAAGCTGGTTGGATATTTAATTCTAATTTAACCTTTTCACTCTTTGGTGTAAACAGACTTCTACTACACTGATTTTTGGAAGCCAATATTGTCATTTTTACTCCTTACTCCTTTTAAACTACATTTATCTGACAGCTTCAGTCAGATTGTTAGCTAATACAATTATAAATCACCCAATAGATACACTTTGATTGAATTATTATAATATAATATTCCCCAGCTGTGATGAATACATGAGTCCATCAATAATCATAATACGGTATGTTATTATATGTACAATTTCGAAATGGGTTATTACACCTTACTAGTACTTTTACTTTTGGTAATTTAGGTATATGATGATATCCTTGGCTTCTTTTACTTAATTAAGATGAATTTACTGAAGCAAAAGCAGCAATACTACATTGCAAATAAACTCAGTCCTGCATTACAAATCTTACTGTAGTAAAAATACAAAAGTATTAGAATAAAAAAATACTTTATGTATCAAAAGTACAAGTTATTGTGCATTATAGCACTTTTCAAAATTACAATTAATTTACTGGATTATTGATGCATTAATGTGTTCCTCACAGCTGGTAAAGGTGGAGCTAGTTTTTATAATTTGGTATACTGCTGATGGAAATCTTAACGTAATGTTAATAGTTATTTATTCCTTTTTGTTTTGTTTATTTTGTGGAAATAAAAAATAAGAATATGTAAAGTAACTCAAGCTGTCAGCTAAATGTAGTTGAGTACAAATTACAATATCAGCTTCCAAAATGTAGCAAAAACAAAAATACTTATGTGAACTACAAGCACCGCAAAATACAACACTTGAGTAAATATACTAAATGATATTCTACCTCTTATACATTTTAACAATTAGGTTTTGTTACTTTTAACTTGATATTTAGTACTTCTTACACCTCTGGCTGTAACCTGTACAGAGAGGCAGATTCTAAATTGCTCTTTTCAAACAGCAGTCTGATAAAAGTGAATGTAAGAGGATGGATAAGTAGGAAAGGAAACCTCAGGCTCGGAGGCTGCAGATTCACAGAAGATGAGCAACATTACAACATTTCATTGCTGACATCCTTTTGGTGCTGAAACAAAGCGAGGGTCGGGGGTGTTCGCTCGGTCTCCCCACCGCTACAGTCACTCATGTCAAACCCGTGGAGGACACTTTGGGGAACAGCCATTTTATTAACCAAATTTGAACTTTGTGTTAGTTTCTCTTTATTTCAGTGCCACCATGGTGAACACTCATGTTAAAAATAAAAAGTGACATTTTCTTTCCGTTAAAATGTATAATCATAATGAAGACAGTTAATCATAGAAACTCATCATAGAAACTGACATAATGACCTCACAGCATTTTGGATCAAACTCCCTTCAGACTAACTCAAAGAAACAGAGAGAACAGAAACAGGCCAGGGTAGACAGGAACAAAAACAGATTCTTTACGTATATCCACTTTTTTTCTTCTTTTTTTTCAGATATTTCCCATAGACATTATAGGTTTGGTTTGAAGGGGGATTCTGCTGGATTGTCTCACGTTTTTTTTTTCCCTGTAGAGGAGCGTCACTGCAATGCAGCGACAGTAAATCTACTGAGGAGAGTGAGAGCCATGAAGACTCTACCTAGTGCACTGAGAGTAAGGGGATCTATCTGGACACACTTGAGTCGGGGTGTTGTGAAGTGCAAACCATTAGTTCTCTAAACCCTCCCTATTCTAGCTAACATCATTTACCACCAAACAAGCAGTGGTAAACTACACCTGAATACATAGCTGGAGTGTGTCCGGCCCTGTAAGTATACTCACAACATAGTTATTTTCATCATTACAGTACAGTATAGAGCAATAGTTTTCATATACTTTTCATATCTTGTTTCATATTGCACCATCAGACAATGGGACACAGAGAAAGATCAACAGAGACTCCATTTCCTAATTAAAACGAGATATGTGCAAACATGACTAAGGACTTTATTAACCAAATCAATTATTCCCTGTAATATCCACAAATAAAAGTGATTTCTCTTTTTATATATATATTTATAGTAATAAGAATAATAAATCTTCACATTGGATCATTTCATAGTGTGACAAAATGCTGACTGGGCCGTCCAGCCACGATCGTAATCCTCATTGTCTTTTAGTTGGTCAGTCCCCATGCATCCATAGGAAATAGATTTTTTTTTTTTTATTCAAAAAAAGTAACAATTTGAGAGCAGCTGAAAAGTTTGGACTGGTGTCAATTGCTTTCATTCAAAGATTTCTCCCGAGTTTGGTTCAGTGTTTCAGAAGGATATTCCATAGGAAAAAAATGACTCCAAATCGTCATCTTCCACTCCAGGAAAAAAAAAGATGTCCGGGTTTTTATGAAACTGTGTGTTAATGTTAAGAATAGATCATTTGGTTATCGATAATTAATGATCATTAATAGCTGACAACTAACAATTAATAATCACTGATTAATTATAAAGAATTAACAATACTCAAGAATAAATAATGCTCCCTCAATTAGTTTGGCAAAACTCCGGCTGGAGTCGTTTCCGATGAGTGCATTTTTTCTCAAGTGAAACAAAAAAAAGAAATACAAAAAAGAAATAAAAGAAAGCTCTAAAATAAATAAAAGGAGATTAGTAAAAGTGACCCCCCCCCCTTCTTGGAGGAGGGTGGACGTATATACAGAACTGCGTGGTGAAGGTCAGTTTACTGCACTTGAGTGTTAAGTCCAGTGTTCGAGTCGTAGTCCTGCCCTCGGGTCCCTGCTGTTATACCAGCGTGTAGGACTTTGCGTAGGGATTGCTGCTCTGTTTGAGATGTCCCCGCGAGTCCAGCAGGGACTCCTGGGAGGTACTGAGCTTGGCGGCCTGGGCCAGCTCTGAGCCCTCTCTGTGGGGGAGCGTGGCTGCGGAGCCAGGCTGCCACTGGGCCGCCTGGTCCCTGCTGGCCTGAGGGGCCTCTGTAGGGGTCGGGGGCGCCATGCGAGAGGGCCGCTTCAGAGAACGGCTTTTCTGGGGCTCCAGACAGGCCTGACCCATGGCCGCCCGCTCCCCGCTCGCTGTCCCCCTGGAGGAGCCCGAGCAGGACATGCCTCGGTTTAACAGGAAGTCCATGCGCAGGTATGGAGGAAGGTGAACCAGCTCGCCCCCTGCAGGACCAAACAGAGATCAGTCAGGCAAAGAGAGCAATTATGCACACATTTCTGGCCAACATCAGCTAAACGTATCTGTGTTTTATGTATTAACTGAAATGTAAGAACTAGTGCTGTCAGCGTTAACGCTCATCTGGATACCCTAATGCTTTAAAAAATCTGACTCAAATGAATCACATTACCAGATTATACCGAAACTTATTGCATGTGAGTGAATAGAAAATAGTTGTGTCATGTTATAATAAAGTTAAAAATCCCTAAAATTTCTCTTAGCAGTTTGTCATGCATCTTTTTTTACAACACCACGCTTGTTTTCATTTTTTCTCTTCTTCTATTTGTAGAAGTCTTTTTATTAACCATTATGGGCAAAAGAAATACAGCTTTGTCAGCTTATAAAATCAATAAACCAATAGTTTGTTGACTATGCTCACACAGACATGAAACCCTAACCCTTGCTGATATTGACCTCATATCTCAAAACACTTACAGAAATATAAAATGACTTAAACCAATACTTCTATCTGCAGAAGGATTTGGATCTGCCTCACTGACAGCGGAGGCTGTATCTAAAAGCATTTTCTTATTAAGAGCTCGGAGCATCCATAGGAAGTGCGGCTCATTAAGTTAAAACCCTCATTGTGCATTTTGGTAAGGAAATAAAATACAATGTATCCTTTAGTTTTAAAACAATATCCATAGTTTCTGCTTTGGCTTAGCAAGAGTATGTATTTTTATAGTTTGAAAAATAATGTTTGAATATTTTTGGAATGTCCTACTTTGTTTACTCAGATTCATTTTCAATTTCATTCTTCCCACTTTCTTAAATTCTTTGACCCAACTGAGACTATATCAGTTTGAATACATTGTGGAACACTTTTTCTGATTCACTGTTAGAGAATTAGAGTCCCAGTTAATGATTGGGTATTAATGTTACACAGGAAGTTAAGCTTTAGTGTATCAGCAGTGTAATGAGGCCAGTTGTAATGGCGGTTAGCATGCGGTCGGGGTTCAGGCCGACAGATCTGGGGCCTCACCCGGTCTGTGGGCCTTGGGCGCGGCCATGTTCATGACCCGGCTGACGTCCTGAGGCTTGGGCGGGGAGGCAGTGAAGCGGCAGATGCCTGATTCGGACGGTGTGCTGGAGGTCAGGCTGTCGGTGTAGTCGTTGGTGCCTGTCGTCATCTGCTCTGAGGAAGTGTCAGAGATGAAGCATTCGGTGATGGTGAACTTGGCGTGGCGCAGCTGCTCCTCCATCTTGGCGTGCTCGTAGGCTCTGGCCAGCTCCTCGTAGGTGGAGGACGCGCTCTCTGTGGACACCATGCTGCTCCGCGCGCGGTCTGGACACGGGCCGGGGTTAGGGGGGGATTAGTGTCAGGGTTAGTGTTAGAGTTCATGTGAAATTTGACAGACAGCTGGTACTGATTTGTTGTTAGAGATGATGAGTAATGTTCAGATGTTGGAGAAGTACTCAGATATTGTACTTAAGTCAAAGTAGAAATACCAGAGAGTGGTAATTCTCTGTTACAAGTAAAAGTCCTGCATTACAAATCTTACTCAAGTAAAAGTACACTGAAAAAACTGGTACAGATTTCACATAACTGTATCAGGTTAGTTGAAAGCAATAATATTAAGTTTAATAAACATTGATTGATTGATTGATTGATAATAAAAACTAAATATTAGGTTCAACTTAATATTATTGCTTTAAACTAACCTAATACAGTTATGTGAAATGTGATAACTGAATACATTTAATTAAAGTCAACATTTCAGTTGTTTTCATTGCACAAAAGTATCAGCATCAACATATAGTAAAAGTACCAAAAGTAAAAGGAATCATTATGCAGATGATATCATATGTTTTGAATATCATTATTAATGCATTAATAAATGTTTATCATAGCTGGTAAAGGTGGAGCCCATCTCTTTATTATTTGATTTACTGCTGAGTAGTTTGTGAGTTTAGCCCAGGTGTAACTAAAGTCTTATTTAAGTGTTGATGATGTTTTGTATCATTAATCCATATCTGCAAAGTAATTAAAGGTATCTAATATATGTAGTGGAGTAAAAGGACATGATTAACCTCTGAATTGTAGTGGGGTAGAATACAGAATGCAGAAAATGGAGATACTAATGTACCTACAAGTTCTACTTAAGTACAGTACTTGAGTAAATGTACTTAGTTACTTTCCACCTCTGGTAGTGTCACACGGATATTTGGCTCACCTGTGTCCTGAGATGGGCTGACGCTGTAGCTGTCACTCTCCTTGTCCACAGAGCCTGCCACTCTGGGGGTGGGCAGCCTCCAGTCAGTGCTGAGAGTGTGGGAGGAGACCGGGGGGTGGGGGCGGTTCAGGGTCCACTGGCTGGCGTAGCGGTTGCGAGCGGCCGGGCCGGCTTTGGCTGTGCGGCGGGCCGTAGGGTCTGAGAGGGAGGAGGGAACGCAGCGTGTTGGTGAGGCTCATGGGAAGGATATGACTTAACTTAAGGAAAGATAAATGAGTGATGCGGGGAAGAGTCCTAAACATGGAAATTAGTTTTAGCTCTTTCATTCCCTTGTCTTGAAGAAAATGTATTTTGAATGAGTTTGCACTGCTGCATCACTATATAGAAACACATTCATCTAACACCACATTTTCATGGCCCAGTGGCCTAACAGACCATCAGCCTCCGAAGCTTGGGATTGTGTGTTCAAGTCCCACCTGGGTCTTTAACTGCAGACAACTGTCATAATATGAAAAGTATAGTTTGATATATAAATGTATAGAGGCTGTATTGCTGGATGAAATACCATGAAGTGTCTAATATGATAAATACATGGATGAAAAAATTAATAATAACAATCATTTCCTCCATATGAAAGCTCCAGAATGTTAACAATCACGCGTTCCTTTTTTATGACACTTTTACATCCACTGTAATGGGTTGAAGTTAAAGGCTTGAGGTGGAATGAGGTTGAATCTCTTATCGTGTGAATGTAGAGTTTTTGCACACAGGCTCATACACACAGCTCATCACTCTCTACAAGGAAACATGAACTTTACTATTGTAAAGCCACTCATCATTGCACGCTTTACTCTAGGGCTGACTGGCCATTTACGACCTGTAATAGGCTCAGTTATCACTACTAGTTCATTTATAAAGTCATTCTGGCTAAGCTGCCCTTCATCCCTCCCTTACTCCCTTCATTCCTTCAACCTTACATCCCTCCCTAACTTCATTCCTTCATTACTAGATCTCTCCTTCCCTACTTATCTCCCAATGAGTTTCCCTCTGTCTTCAGTACGTCTACCAGACCAGATTGAACGATGACATACCTCATTTTTCCCCACCACTTTTCTTTGCATGTGTACGTGCTTGACATCCAACGGCTCCTGTGATTATCCTTAACCCACATATTGTTATGATGTGGTCACTGATATATTTGATGTGTTATGGAGTTAAAAAATCTTTCGTACTGGACTTACTGGTTCCTGGTCTGGCGTCAGACACGTCCACCAGGGGGCCGGTGGCCTGGGACAGGGACTGATAGTGGACCGTGTGAGTGACTGTGGAGGACTTCTGTTTCTGGGTCTCCCCGAAGTCGTTATCGGTCAGTAACACAGTGGACCGGTCGTCTGCGGGACACAAAAACAAGCTTAGCACAACAATAACCAGGACACAGTGCAGTCTGTCCTGTGTCAGCAGAACGTACCAACAGTCTCCATGGTGTCTCTCTCCTCGATCAGCAGCTGGGCTCTGGGGATGTCGATGTGCATGCGGAGCGTCTGTTGCTGTTTGTTGACTGGCTCTGCTGGACGTGTGTTTTTACTGCACAGCGCAACACAAAAAAACACTTCATTATCAGAATCAATTGTCGTAATGAATTCCTCTCAGTTGACAGTGATGTGTCCATATGAGTTTAGTGTCTTGAAAACTCTTACCTCATTAACATCTCAGCCAAACTTTTAGCATCTGAAAAACAAAGAGAGAAGACAGTCATTTTACGTTTTACATAAAAGAGTAGAGGCTTAAATGTGTCATGCTGGATGACCTCTCCTCTCACCTCTGAGCCTCTTCAGCCTCTGCTCCCTCCTCCTCCTCCTCAGCACCAGCAGCCCGATGAAGATTACAACGATGCCCACCAACACACAGGAAATAGTCACCATCATCTTTAAGCCCTCGCCGCCTCCAGAGTGGTCCTCACTTACGTTGGGGGCCTTCACCAAAGGTGCGATCGTACCTGTGCAGAAGTCACAAGATATGTGTGATGATAATGATCTATCCATGTGCTGTAAGACATCATTTTCACTTCCTGAATCCTAACCATTCATGTCATTGTCAAATGATGTAAACAAGTTTAGAATTGTTTTCCAAAGCAATCTCGTACAGTGTTCCACCAAAGCTGCTGAACTCTGTTAATATCATCATGACCTCTTTCAGGATTGTTTTACTTTGCCAACCTGCACTTACATTAAATGCAAAGTAAATAATGCTGTCGAGCTACATGCTCAGGTTGATGGTGTCTTCATCTCCAGGATGTGAGTGAAGGAGTAAGTGAATGGGTTGGAAAACTCTAGGGTGGATTTTGAAAATCGTTTTTGCTTAGGAAACATGAAAGGACCCAAGTCAATTCTCTAGGCAATAGGAAAGGATCCTCAATGCGTTCCACGACAACTCCCTTAGCATAGGATTCACTGGACCAGCCTTTATGAAACAAAAGGAGATAATGCTATCCTACAAGTCTCATGGCCACAATATTTAAAGTGACACACCCTTCAGCTGTTCACGGAAACATCTGATCGTGACCCACAAATGCAGATCATGTAAGTTAGCATTTTACAACGTATTCGTATCCTGTCAAAGTGCTTATATGTTTTGATCTTTTAATAAAATGTTAAACTAAAAGTAAAAACTATGAACGTGACGCTAATAGTATAACATAATCAGATAAAGTCAACATTTAATGTTCTTCACTTACTGTAATACGTTTTTTTTACGTTTTTGCGCTTTTCTTTATAGGCACAGTGCTAGAAATGATTTGTACTATTCAACTGCAGCCTCGCTGTGCTTTTGGCACTTCTCTTTGCCTCAAACTACTATTGAGAGAGACTCAGTGTGCTGCAGTTACCACAAAGAGTCTCTTTAGTTTCACTGTCAGAGTGTCAGTGTTCTGTGGATCATGCAGCTGCAGTTCCCTGCTCTACAGACAGGATATTTCAATGCTTCGTATTAACCCCCGCTATTCTGTTCACTTACTGCCATCGTAGCTGAGAGTTGAAAACTTGACTCTCTTCTCAGCGTATCCGGCGCTGTTGTAGACCTTCATCTGCAGCTCGTACCAGCTGGCCTCCTGCAGGTCGTACAGGATGTAGCTCTTGGTGAGGGAGGTGCGCTGCGCCGTGGTCCAGGAGGGCGCGTCCATCGGTCGGTACTCCAGGGTGAAGGAGGTGATGGGGCAGCCACCGTTGTTCCAGCCGTTCAGGTTGAGCTTCACCCGAGTGGCGTTGATGCTGGTGAACAGCTCCTGCTCTTTAGAGTACTGAGGCTCTGTGGAGAGGAGAACAGGGCATCAATCATCTGCCTTCTGTCTCCTACATTCATACTTTGCTCTAAAACAAAAGGCCTCAAAGGTGTCTCAGTTAAGCTGATGTGTCTTTAAATGCCTTTTTGTCTAACAAACAACTCAAAGAGTGATTGACTATTGTAGAAGAAAAAAATATCAAACTTTTTGGAACTTAAATTGAAGCCAAAGCTGTTGATTAATACCTGGATTCATTTGTGATAATAAAAGCCCATCACAATTGTCTGACAATTCCCATTTATTTGTAACATTTAATTTGACCAAGTAACATTGAATTTGACATTATTAGGAAGGGGAAAAAGTCAAGTGTGATTAAAGAAATTAATTTATTACATCATTGTTGATTTATATAACAGGCCTTTTTCTTCTTTTAAAAGGACAAGTATTTATCACTTGACTATAAGTTACTACTGAGAAGTAAGTCTGAGATAATCTATGGCAAAAAATAAAGACTCTGGAAAGTTTTTTCATTAAAAAATACTGCAATCCCATATTATTAAAATATGCAATTCCCGCTATTTATAAAGTTATATAAAAGACCTCAGTTAAAAAATCCCACCTCTAAATGATCAAAAATAACATTGTGAGTTATTTCTTCATACCTTTCCCATGGGTCTTTGCTTCAATGATCTCACTGATGCGCCCTGGCCCCACTGCATTCTGGGCAGTGAGTGTGAACTTGTACCAGGTTCCACACTTGAGGTTCTCCAGTCTGTAGGAGCGCTCACTGGGGCTGATGGGAAAGTTCCCCCACTGCTCGCTGTTATCCTCCGAGTACTGCAGGATGTAGCCTGGAGGGGAGGCGTGTGGGGAAATGAGTGTAAATGCACAGGAAGAAATCCACAGAAAGGTAAACACTAAAACTCCTGCAGGTCGTGTCTGTCTGACCTCTGATGGAGCTGCCTCCGTTGTCCCCAGGGATCCAGGAGAGGGTTATTGACGTGGTGGTTGTCTTCGTTACTGTGAGGCGAGGCTGGTCCGGTGGAACTGAAGGAGAGACCCAAACATGAGTGATTATAATAGTGATGCAGATAACTGAATATATATAAGTGGATACAAGCACTACAATTGGCACAAATACTCCATGGAGGTTACTCTGTTAGCCACTCAGAAATCCAAGATGGCTATAAGGATTTGTCTCAACTGAAAGCTATGTGTAGAACTGAATTGTCCACCACAAGTTCAATTCAGAAAGTTCTTTATTTTTCTCATACTGCCTCTTTTCACCCTCTGTCTGAAACCAGAGCCCAGTCTGCTCTGATTGGTTAGCTGGCAAACCACTTAGAGTTGTCCAGCCGCTGAGCCTATCATTATCACCTATCAGCCTAATGTGTAGGAACGTTAGCCAATAGAAGCGAGAGTGTGACGTAGTGATGTCCTTATGTTCATGATTGATCTAAGCTATAGAACACATTGCAGGGAAGGGAAACTCCAAAAAGCATGATAGGGCCTCTTTGACCGACTACACGCCAGTGGAAGAACAATCCACTTGGCACTATTATTATGACCCCTTAGTCACATTTAGACTTTAAGATGCAATATATATTTGTTGTGTATCATGTGTGAAATGTATGTTTTGCTGTGTTGTTTTATTTGCCGGTACCAAAGACACATTTTCCACTTGATGTAAATGTAATGCACAATAAAGTATTCTGAATCTGAGCGTCTCACCTTGGACCTGCAGGTTGAGGACGATCTTTTCTGAACCGAAGCTGTTACTGGCAACGCAAGTGTAGTTCCCAGAATCCTCTGCTTTCACCGTGCGAATAACGAGGCTGCCATTACCATGGACGCTGCGCCGGCTGTCAATCACAACAGGTGCTGGGGTTCCGTTGCTGAAACATATATGTGTTTAGAATTCATATCTTTGAAGAGACACATTTGTGAGGATGTTTTTATCCTTTACATCACTGTACTCACATCTCCTTCAGCCACTTGATGGTTGGAGATGGATCTCCCACCGCTTTACACGGCAGCACGATGTCCCTCATCCAGGGGGTGGTGACTGTCCTGTTGAAGGTCAGGATCCGAGCCGGAGCTGCACAAATACACACACACTTCAGCATCAGAGGACATGCAGAAACAAATGTGTTTCAAAAGATTTCACAAAGCACTATCCTTTCATTTCATCTCTTGTACTCCCTTAGCTCACAGAGTCACTGTTTAGTAATTCCTTTCTACAAGTATATACATAAAGGAATCTATTCAAACTTTAGACTTTATATATACATATATGTCCAGGTTTTTGAGGAGTCATCAAAATGCCTCGTCTTTATTGCTTGCCCTGTTTAGGATAGATATGGCCAGAGAATGTTTCAGAACAGATGGAGGCATACAATGTGACTGCACACTTCATCTTCAGTTTTCCTTGAACAAGGCTTTCAATAAACCTTGTCTTTGTGTGTTCTAGTATTATTGCTCAATCTACAGTCAGGGTTACAGTCTCCATCTGAGGAGGGGAGCAGGGGAGGCGGGACATCCATCACCTAGCCCTGCGACAGGCTGCTGATAGGAGGCCATGGTGTCTATCAGCATATTCAATCAGCTTATCAGCTCTCACCAAGCATGTCAGTGTTAACAGGGTCAGACTCAGGGTCATCACATTCAACGGATGCTCCCCCACCTGTCCAGATACTAGGAAAAAGCTACTGTCACACACCCACATGGGGGAAATGAGGTGTGGTGAGAGAAGCTGGAGCAAATATTATAAACAGTTAAGAATTGGGACTACTGCAATAACATGATACACTTTACATGTTAGATCCCAAATGCTTTCATTAACTTACTCCTTGAGCTTCATCCTGATATATTATCTCCGGCAATTTATTGCACTTTTTTACTTCCTTATTTCTTTGTGTCTTAGGAATGTTGTATGTTGCGCTGTGGCTATTGTGCATATGACAATAAAACCTTTGGAATTTGAAAGATTCCCAAAAAGATGCATCCCAAGGACACAATGTGCATCTTTTTCTTGCTGACATAAACCTCTATGCACTTACTTTTTATTTGCCCATAAATCAATTTGCATGTATATCACATTTGGTACACAGTAGAGTACTTTATTCAGCCTGGTACTGCACCACAGAGGAGCACCTACCCTCAGCCATGGGTTTGACAGTGATGATGTCACTGGCGTTCCCCCGGCCGGCGGCGGTGACGGCCACCACCCAGATGCTGTACTGACGGTTCCTGCTCAGGTTGGGGATGCGGTAGAAGAACACATCTGGAGCCGCCTCAAACTCACTGCTCACCTGTGGGAACACATTCATCATATGTTCCATTCACTTTAAATACTGCAAAATGATTATTAAACTAACTAATGAATGCTAAAGAATAAGCCTGGTGATATTATATACTATAAACAGATACCATAAAAACTATGAAATCCTCACAGATACGTATTATTAGAATGATAGTGTATATCAGGTTATCTGTGTGATAGAGAGCTTTACTGTTACTAATACAAACACACCCATTGGCAATTGAATTCTGTTTTTAGTGAATCTAACTTTGTGGTTGAACTCACCTCTGAACTCACCCAGCATTACTGGAATACTGACACTCGACTAATAGCATTTATATCTTATGAATACTAATACAACACTGTAAATACTGTATTTGATTATGTGATGTATTGTAGTACAATGTGCATATTTGTACTTTAACAATCTTATATGTAAACCAATGTTTGAAATGTTTTTGATTATAGGCCATTTTACGTTAATATAATATAATACATGTATTTATTATTTTATGTTTTGATTGCACATTCCTACTTTTTAAATATATGTTCTAATCTAAAGTTGAGCCACTGTCACAAAAAGAAAATTCTCCCTGGAAACATAAATGATTCTGAGTACTGGCTCTTTAGCTGTTATATGCTCCCCAATGTTCCCTGGCTGCTCACTAGCCTGGTCCCCCTGCTGCTTGGTGCTGAATGCTAGTTTAAAGTGGGCTGAACAAACAAGACAAGGAGCTGAAAGACACTATAACGCTGCAGAACACTGAGTGACCAATACATGATCAGTTCTTTTTCAATTCAACTCGTCGGAAATGCTAAATGTGTTCATAGATTTAATTCAAGGAATTGTAATACTTGCAATGTATTGAATATCTCATTCCATGTTTTTGAAAACGTTGACATACCGTGGGGTGTGGGTTGGAGCAGAACACGGTGTATTTCCTGATGATGCCGTTCACTTTGAGAGGAGGAAGCCAGGACACAAACACCACAGAGTTAGAAGCAGCTGCTGCCTTCACCCCCGCCGGAGGCCCGGGAACTGAGGGGAGATAAACATCGAGTTGATATATTTCCCACACTAGGCTAACATCATGTATACACTGATTATCATTTAGCAAGATAACAGATGGCAAATTTCATTTTTTACGGGACTGCATATAAGTTACATTAAGAGCGCTCCGCCTAATCGGTTTATTAAAGACCCTGCAGCTTTCTCTTCTTGTTTTTACCAAAGGGGATCATTACCTGCAGGAACTATTATCAATGTGGCGAAGCGGACAATTCTCATACTAAGAAGATACTTGTAGAAATGTATGCAGGCCATTTAGCAGCGCCTCACAGTTCAGCAGTGTTCTGGAGAGAAAATCATCTTCTTACCGTCCTCCTTGGTGCGGGTGTAGATCTGCTCACTGCGGACTCCGTCTCCCGCTCTGGTGAAGGTCAGCACCTGTATGCTGTAGTTGGTGTACTTCTCCAGTCCGTCCAGCTCCAGAGAGGGCTTAGAGGTGGTCACGTTCCTGATCTCTCCCAGCTCTGATGGACGGGAAAAAGGATGGAGAGAGTTAAGTAAGAATTAGACAGAACACCTCAGGTCAAAGGTATTTTCAAATTCAGGTTTCTTATTAAATGAATGCAAGTAGCACACCTGTATGTGTACAGTAGCAGCACATTCAAATACAGCTTTCAGCAAACGTCTGAAATAATTCAGTGTAACCCTAATATAACAAATGTGTAACTGTCTGAAAAAGACCCATTAGCACTGATGCCCTGTTACACTCTGCATCCCTGTGTGTTACACTCTCCCTGCACCCCCCTCTGCTGGTCAGGGACATTATATCGGGTCATACTGATATACGGCTACATTCTGAGATTATAGATATAATAGTAAACAGTCCGATTTGAAGAGATGCATGTTAAGATGATACATGTGAAGTGTTGACTATATAAATAAAATAAACTTGCCTATATTGTGCAAAATATACTTTTAAAGTTTAACTTTGTTGGCTGCAACACTGTGACAACACTTTTCTAAATACCACTGTGCAATGTCTGTTTTTAAGATATAATAATGTTAGTACTTGATGCTAGTTCACTGTTTTTTATATCCTTTTTCAATTGACCAATTTACCAATTTTACTTTAATTTAATAATGAAGTACTTTTGATTCTGATATGTTCACTAACTCTTATAATGCTGCTACTTATTTTGACACCTTGCATGTACTTGTTCTATTTTCATTTTAATATACGTCTTACTTAATGTTAATCTACTCATTTATTTTAATTTTCTTCACTGTTCCATTTCTGTGAAATTCCACGCTGTGGGACAAATAAAGGATTTTTTATTCTGATTTGAATTACCATGTCATAGTTTTTATTATCTTTACATAGAATATAAGCCAAGCCATTTATAAACAACATCAAAATGTGACCACAGGCTGCACACTGTTTCCATGCAGACTCTCGCTGGCTGTCTGCAGCGCTCACGTTGTGCCGACATGATGTGACAGAGCGGGGGTCAAAGGTAATCGTGCTGTCACAACCGATCACTCGGACACACGGTCGGCCTGTGACATCATGCGCTCTGACTTCAACAGGACCATACAGACTTGGCCAGTATCGGAGGTTACTCAGAAATACCCAGAATACACCTGGATAACTAAACAATATAACTACTCTTAAGCATAGTAGATAATCGTAATTAATTAAATAAATAAAGATTGCATTTGCATTGTTTTTAGCTCATAACCTTTGTCTGCAGCACAGTACATTGTATAGATACAATAATGAGTCATATTACCTCAGCAAACAAACTAATGTGATTTATTGGAATCCAATGTGGTTTTCTACATTAATTAATCATACAAAAACAATTGAATTTCTGGTGAGAAAACTATTTCCATTTAAAACATTTTTGGAAAGCAATATTTTACCATATAATATGATCTATTCTAGTATTTTAGTGTTGGTTTTGTAGTTACAGTACAATGATTGGCCTAATGTTGTCTTCTCATTGTGCCCTGACATATGCAGGGTGAAAGTTAAGCAGCTTAGCTCTGGTTGGTCCAGTACACTTAAAGAGGCCCTGTGAAAGTAGTGGTTTCATTAGCATGACTCAGCAAAATGCATAGTATATCTTTGAAGTGTGACAGGTAGGTCAGGGGGATTTCTCTCTCAGAGAATATGTTTTTGTATTTTAAATCCAGCATTGTGCACATTCCTTCTTCCCTGTCTTTGCTGCTGTGTTGCAGCAGAGCTTGTAGGTGTGTAACACAATATATAGACAATATGGATATGTAATATGGATGTTGTTGCTTTAAAATGTCTTAGGACACTCTATTGCTTCTCAATTATAAGATATCCACCGGACAGTACAGTTTGTTTATTTATATAAATATATATTAAACAGTATGTTTACATTGTTTATTTATTTAATTGTTTCACTCCAAGATTCCTGCAGAAAGAAGAACTTTTATATTATGAGCTAAATGTTATTTCCTTTGCTCAGGTTGCTTGTTGGATGTTGCAGAGAAAATGACAAATGTACTCTAGATTAATCTTAGATTGAATAATAACGAAGACCAACAAAAAACCTGCTGCTTCTTATAGCTGTGTAATAAGGAACAGTTAGATGCTCTTTTAAAAAAGGGTAACGCTTATAACATCTCCATAGCAATACTTAAAAGCTAAAAAGCCACAGGGAACCATACAGATCACAACCAGCTGAGGATGTGTTTGTGTCTTCTGGTTTATAACGGATATATGTGTTGTCTTTTTGATCAATTTAGAGATATGGCTGCTTTTTTTTTAAATACACTTGATTAGAATGCGATCAAGCTGCTTTAGATTAGGAAAAGCAGACCAGGACAAAGTTGATGATGATTTGTGTATGGTGAAGTGTTCATATGTTGTTGTGTACCTCCATCAGGAAGGTTGGCCCAGTAGATGACCCTGAAGCCCAGCAGGTTTCCGTTCAGAGCGTCTTTGGGGGGCGTCAGCCAGGACAGAGAGATGACCTCCGGAGACGAGGCTAGGGCCTGGACGTTCTCTGGAGGGCGACTGGGCACTGAGGAGGAAACAGCTGACGCTTAGCAGACTGACAACATGTGGCAGCACCCTTTGATCTCCACTAGGCTGTGATATAACCCCATAAATCTGTCTCTGTGCTCACCATCTTCCAGCGTGGTTGCAGCCACCTCTGTGGAGGAGGGGCCCGTCCCTGCGCTGTTGCTGGCCTGCACCACCACTCCATACTGGGTGAACTTCTTCAGGTTGTCCAGCACCAGGCTCTCTGCGTTGTCTCCTGTGGTCTCCACGCTGATCACACTGAACTGGTAGTTCCCCCCCGAGCTGTACTCCCTGTAGCCCACCTGGTAGCCTTTGATGGCCCCGTTCTGCAGGTGCCTCTTCGGGGCCTGACAATAAAATGACACGGTTATTCCAGATAATGGGTTTGAATGTCCCTGCACTTTTTTATTTGAGTGCAGAAGTACCACATTCTCCAAGACACATCTAAACATAATAGATAGACACTAATATATCAAATAACATTCTCAGATCAAGCACTATTCTGATGAACTAAAGAAAACTGTCTGGACAGTGTCCCCGACGTTTACACATATATTTCATCATGTTTAGGTGTCAGGAAAAAGAATAAAAAAAGCACAAACATGGTATGGTGTAGCTTGGCAACCTCCATCACACCTACATAGATAAAGTCCCAAGTGTGTTACAAGAGCAAGTCCCTCTTCTTTCCAGTAAATACAAAGTACAACCAGTAAATACACATTGAAATGATCCCTTTGAGTTCTTAAAAATCTAATTTATTATGCAATCTCCAAAAGAAGGGGATGCTTTAAATGACACCTATAACTCTTATAACATATGTATGTAGTTTGATGCCTTCATGGTGCCATCACCATCCTCTGTTAGCTGGCTGAGGGGACCTTGACTGTTAGACAGCCGTCAAGGTTTCCCATGTTTAAACACAATGACAGGGGGATGTAGAATGTGATTACATCATCATTTGAAAACATTCAGATGCATTCTTGTGCAACCTTTGAAATTGAGAATAACACACACAATTTCAATCAAACAAATGTATGATGTGAAAATGATAACCTAAAAAACACTAGTCACCCCACCTACTGCATCAGACATTAGAATAAAGATTTATAATGACAACAAATACAGCATGCTACACACAGTGTTCTTTCAACACCTTCCTTTAGTCGGGAACAGTCCTTGAGCGTCACATCTGGGAGATAATCAGTGCAGCACTTTAATATTCACAGCTACAAACAACACACACTTTCAGCCCACAGAGTCGGATCAACTTACCCTCCAAGCGACTCGGATGCTCTGAGAGGAGAAGGCTTCCAGCTGCACGTCCTGAGGCGGTCCGTCAGGAGCTGAGATCACAACATGTACACATTATAAAACTGTACACAACCAGCGCTGATCTGCACAAAACCTACTAAACAAACGTCCAGAGGAGATCAGGATCCCCCTATCTTGACAGATGGGATGCTTTTATTTATAGTTGAGGGTGAGAAGTGCTCAGTGGGGGGGTTGGAGTATACTGTAGGGTGAGCTGATTTGCAGATGGGGTCCAGCCTCAGTCTATTGACCATAGTGTGACATTTACTACTGAGGCCACTAATTGAAATTGTGTGCGTTTTGTGCGAGGTCAGCACGTGTTCAGTAATGCAACAGAGCCGATGGGGCTGAGGTCACCAGGCGGCTAATGAATTGACTCTGTTAGCCCTTTACCTCCTATTGCCTCGACACACACACTCACATGTTTTATCATTTTAACTATGATATACTTGAATGGTGAGTGTCTGAAACATACACTGAAAAAATTAAACCGTTGACTTTATATTAAGTTGAATCTCATATTTTGTATTTAAACTTAATATTATTGCTTTAATGTGAAATCTGTTGACATAATACATTTCATTAAAGCCAGCAGTTCAGTGTTTTCAGTGCAGAATGCAACACAGACTCTTACCGGCTTCGTCCGTGGTGATGGTGAGCTCGTTGCTGGCCTCGCTCTTGCCGATCAGGTTCTTGGCGAACATGCGGATGTTGTAGGTGGAGGAGGGGTGCAGGTCGATGATGGTGGCCTGGTTGAGCTGAGGTGAGACATCTTTGGTCTTCTGAGCCGTATCCCAGGAGGCTGCGTAGGTTTATTGGGGTTATTGGGGAGAACTCAAAGCTAAGTGCACTTGGACAGGCTATATTCAATCATAGTGCTTAAAGAAAATGAATAGGGGGAGGGATAATCAACCAAGATGGCGGCTGTGGCTCAGGGGATAAAATGGACATCTCCAAATTGGAGGGTCAATCCCAAAATTGCTCCAGAGACATGTAGTGTGCATTGAAATGTACAGTATTTAAGTGGCTTTGGATAAAAGCGTCTAAGACACTAAACTAAATGACACAAAACAACAGATTCTCTACAAGCTTACAATTTTGAAAGGGGACACAATATGTATACTAATATATATTTACATAACATATATTTTCAGGTTCATATCTGTATTTTGTGTACTAATGTAACACTTGTGTACTTTAATGTTCAAAAACCTCTTTTCACCCTCTGTCTGAAACCAGAGCCAAGTGTTCTCTGATTGGTTAGCTGGATGGCTATAATGTAAAATGTGTGGGAGTACTAGCCAATAGAAGCGTGAGTGGAACACAGGGATTTTAGCCTTATTAGACCATTTACATGCACAAAAACCTATACAACACACGGAAAACCCCAAAAAGCATAATAGGGCCTCTTTAACCAATGCTATTTGAAACCATTTTAGCTCATTGTAAAATCGTACCATATCGATATAAATGTATTTTCTTGTACCTGATTTGTTCTTGCTCTCAATATCGAAGCCTGTGATTGGGCTGTTGCCATCGAAACCCATAGTCCAGCGCAGTGCAATGGTCCTGTCCTTCACCTCTCTGATCTCCACCTCTGGGGGGTCCGGGGGCTCTATGAGGCATAACATTGACAAAACGTTGTTATTTCAGTCTTACTGAATTTAAGAGGGCAGGCATTTGTAGGTAAAAAGTGTGTTTTTCTTTGAGCAGTTGAGCTGGGAGAAGTCATACCTTGCACTGTGAGCTGAATGATTCCTCTGTCTTCTCCAAACGAGTTGATGGCATGACAAGAGAAGAAGCCAGAGTCCTCCCTCACTGTGGGCATGATCTGAGGGATTCACAGGAATAAGATGAGGTCAAATGAAAAACACTATGCAGCTGGATGTCCACTGACTGTGGTATTGATTCCAACACATATCTGTTATCTTAATTTGAATGGAGTGGTTTTCTGTCCAATAATGTATCACCACCGCCTTTGACTTGTGACCCCTCACCACAGCCTTGGTGGTGACAAGAGTGGTGAGGAGTTCAACCAAACTATGTCATTAGAAGGAAGTCAGAATTGTCTCCCCAATTCAACAATGTATCTCTTAAAAAAAGGTAATCTTTCCCGAAAATATTCAGAACTCTAAAGGAAGTATCCAGTATTTAATAAGAGAAAAAAACGTTGATTGTGCTGTTGCATCATATATAAAATAAACATCAATAATCCAATATTATATGGCGATAAGTTGAATTGTACTCATCCAAGTGGCGCAGCGTCTTACCTGCAGGGTGGAGATGACTTCATCGCCCACCTCCTTGACAGAAACCACGTAGCGGCTGGTCTCTGGGTTGATGATGCGTTCCTCCTTCTCCCAGCGCACCATGATGGGTTTCTCTCCGTGGGCCGTGCAGCTCATCTTCTTCTCTTCACCCTGAGTGGCCAGCGTGGTGTTGGGGTACGATGTGATCATGGCAGGGACTGGTGAGGAAGAGAGGTGGAGAAAAAGGGATGAAGAATCGGTTAGATTAGTTTTCTATAATAATCAAATTGGTACTTTCAGATTTCTAACTGATAGATGTTTGTTGATAGGAGACACATCTCTCTTGTTTAAATAACCTTTGGATTGACAGATTAAACAAAAGGAATTCTACAGGGAAAGACAAACAATTGTGTACAAAACATTAACTCTGTCTCTTATGGTTGCTAACTTGAACATGCTAGTTAGCCTGCAGTTGCTAAAGTTGCAGAGAAAGGCTTAAAGATGGTGATTGGCTCAAAGGACAATGGGAAGAAATAGGTGTCATAGAGTGGCGCATTGATGAGTGCTGCACCTGGTCAATTGTTTTTTGAATTAGCTTTTGGTGCGATTTCTGAAATAGGGTCTCTGTTAAATAAATACATGTTTTGTGGCTAATGCAAAAAAGCTCAACAACTGTCTTTTGTAAAATTGAAAGCACACGTTCTGGAGCAACTGTGATGAAAAGAACCCTAGCATTCCCAGCCGTTTTAATGTTGTGTAACTGAACGTACAGCCTCCCTGTAACGTTGTATGGAGAGCTGCCTCTGTGCGTCTCTTCTATCTGAGGGTCCTAAATGGCTCAGCGATGCTCTAACAACACTCTGAAGACACCACACTAAACGCACACTAACGACATACATGCCTCATTACACCCACAGCAGAGTGTATAACAACCCTCTGCTCCCAGATGCTCACACACACTCACACCCACGTCCACACACAAGCTCATGCAAGCGCACAAATGTGTGCGAGCTCTTGCATACACACACAAACACAAGTACACAAAGCGTGACTCCAGTGATGTGATGTGAAGTGTCAGGCAAGAGGTTGCAAACATTTAAGCTTCATCTCTTATTCATTCTGCAGCCATTTGGCGCACGGCTAAGGAAAAGAACGCTGATTTATTTTGCATGACAAGTATGAATTTTTTGTGAGACATATTTGGAAAAGTGAGGGGAGGAGAAAAAGCTCAGGCTATATTTAAACGATAACGTTTTAGTGCTAGCTTCTCTCAGTTTGCAGTGAAAGTGGACCAGAGGTGGAAACTGTGTAATGGCAGTAAAATGAAGACGTGTTCTGTAAGGAAGTGGAGGCAATCTGTCAAATATACAATACATGTCTGGTTATGGCACATATTTGTTAATGACATATTGATGCAATTGGTTGAACGATGTAACATTTGAAAAAGAATCCTGCACTGAATCAGAAATTACAACAATATGATGTAAAAGAAAAGGGTTAGGGTTCTTTTTTTCCCAACATATATTTGAAATGTTTAGCATGATCAGCTGTTGACATAAAACTAACTACACGTGACAAACCTTTAGATATCCAATACATGGATAAAAGGGAGCGATACCCTTCTTTTTTAATGTTTTATAAAGGCCAGATTGATGCATTAATCAGATAAATTCTCATTAGTTCCTTTGTTGTAATTATCAACACTAATCTATTTTGCAACATGGCATCCTGAATGTGTAAGGAGGTGGAGATACAAAGCTAACAAATCCTCAACAATGGAAGAGTCTATGCAACATGAAGAGTGCTCAGAGATGAAGCACATGCAAAGTGTGCGTCTGTGTGTAAGTGTGTTTAAACATGCAGCAGAATGTGTGTGTGTGTGTGTGTGTGTGTATGCATGTGTGTGCAGACGTGTGTGTGGGTGTGCAGGCAGTGCAGCTGAGCCAGCCCTGAGGCACACTTTGTGGCCCTGTAATTGTTGTGTTGATGTATTTCTTTAATATCCAGTGGCATTATGGGAACAGGACAACGGGGAGGAGTGACGAGAGAAAAAGAAGGAAGGGAAGAGAGGAGGAGAAGGAGGGAGTCCCCCGTCTCATTAGGCATCAACTCCCCTGATATCTAATTCAGCCTTGAACACAACACATGGGGCAAAGCACACAGCTAACACACGTGTGCGGACAAGGGGGAACTCATCATAAATCTTATTTGATATCAGCCATACTTAACATCAGCTTACCCAATGTGTCTCATTACATCACATGTTACTTGTTAGACACTTTTATCCAAAGCAACTTACATACTCAATACTGTGGGCAATCCCCATAGGAGCAATTTGGGGTGAAGTGGCTTGCCCAGACATGCTGACTGCAGTGGGGTTTGAACCTGTGCCCCCCCGATATGAACATCAACGCACTAGACCACTGCGCCACACACCTGATCATGTCTGGAAAGACTCAATCTCTGTTGATAAGACGTTGTGATGTGCTTAAATGAAGTCTTGAGCACAATAACAGACGCTCAAAAAAGTATATACTTCTTAAGAAACCAACAGTCTTTTGTTGGAAGTGTAACTTAAACAAATGTATTCCCAATTAATAATTAACTGTTAAAAAAATATATATAACTGGTATCCTTATCTCAGTATCACAATATTAAGCTAATGTAACCTGATTACTTTTGGACTACCTCAACATCAAAAGCAATGCAAATGAATAAATATGAATAGGACGTTTCCCTATGTTTACATAAGTGTATTGTGTAAGACAACAGAACAATGTAACATTAGAAAAGAGACGGAATATGCAATTGTTTTAGCATACTACACTATATGTATTATAGCAGTATTTTTTCAAGGAAGGATTCCAGATTAAATGATAGGTTAAATGATATGACAGGCTCTCAGATTATTAAAGTTTACAAATGCTTTTTGTTTTATTCATAAATAAATGAAAAGCATTCAGAGCATTTTTACTTAACAAACAAGTGCATCATGACGTGTCAGCATGTGCTTTATGATGTATGGATGTATATCTTCAAATGTATTGTAACATCATAATACCATTTTTTAAAAGGTACTTCTAAAGTTAGTATTTTTGATGCAACTGTAAGGAGATACAGTTACACTTTTTGTATCCAAATAAGGTCAACCTATAACATGTACGTTGTTACTCCAAAAGCATTGTGTTGCAGACCTAACCATGTCTGTTTCTCAGCATGTAATGATTCCTGAAAATCAGCTGCTGTATTTTTTACATTAGTAAAAGTAAGCATTGCAGCCTTGTGAAGCAAATAATAATAAGTGTAGTGTGTTTTACTACTGTGTCTTTGATGTGGAGGTGAGGAGAGCCCTGTTCCTCCACACAAACCCAGAGGGCAGTGATGATACACTTAAGCCTGCAGGGGATTGTGGGGGATAGGCTGGCTGCTGATAGGCTACTCCCGTGAGACAAAAGCCCTTCCCTTCCTCCCTCCCTTCTCCCAGGCTGCCTTTCACCTGGACAGGTTACCATGCCAACCAGCATCGGACAGTCTCTCCTGCCTCCTCCCTCTCCTCCCCCCTCTCTCTCTCCAGGCTCTACTCTTAGAAAAGGGCCATTTCTAGTAGCCAGGAATAGAACATACCTGCCATTGATTTTTTTACAGGAGTATGATGATGATTACACAATCACGCCCTGAATGTCGCAATGCAGGGCCGAAAAAGAGATACCAAAATAAACTGCTACTGGTGGTGTGGAATGGAGTCAGGAGAGTAATAATAACATCATTACAGCAGAATGGCTACAGTACTTCAGTGTGCGGCTATTCATCTGTGATCAAAGAAAGAAAGCAGTGAGACCAGAGGTTCAATGAGATGTGAGGGGGTGGTGGGGAGATGATCTTCTTTTCTTTAGGAATCATCTCGAGCAGCTTAATTGTTATTAAAAAAAACAAAAAGGAAAGGAATGAAACATTAAGCTCCATTTTCAGAGTCAAACAAAACCGTACCAAAAATAAAATGATTGATGAGCATGATCGTGCATTCGAAAAATAGGGTTTGTAATGCACCATTAGCTGATGGGATGTCATTATTCAAGGTTTGCATCTGAAATAGGACTGTCAAAGTTGTGTCCAATACAGTGGTGCAGCGATTACTTATTTTGTAGGTCGACCTGGATGTTCAACCCAGTCTCACGGCATTTCGTGTTATAGTCACGTCACGACATGTAATCTATTGATTCGTGTTCACCAACACGATTTTCCCCTTTTTTCCGTGTCACACAGAACGATTTTAAAAGCAATGTATTTCTATTGGTAGTATGTTTCGTGCCTGCACCACGTATTTTTGTCCGGTCGGGTCTTGGAACACCGGAAGCTATGGGGTTCATAAAAACATGTTCTTACTCAATATCAAGCCACAATTATTGTTTTTATTTTAAATTGTATAATGTCGGACTTTTTTTGCCGTCCGTGAGGAAAAGAAATGGGGCACAGAATACTGAAATATGTATTTTTTAAATCTTTTTTTCCTTTTAATTTGTTATTCTTTTCTAAATAACACACTGTTATCCTTGTTTTTATTTATTTGTTTAATTCTATAATCTCTGTTTTTTTTGCCGTCCGTCAGGAACTGAATTTCAAAATAAACTATCAACAAAATTGCGTTGCCAGGCAACAGCTTCGGGTGAAAACAGTGTTTCCGGTCTCGAAGTTTTCATAGTAAAACCATAGACTGTATATAGAGTAAAACCAAAAGTATTCCCCTCACTGTCAACTAAAAACACCAGATTATCCTTGTTAATTACACAACATTGATTGGTTTACAATAGGCGCATTCACACTGCGGTACTTTTCCCACAAAGGTTCATGTGAACTTAGTTCATGTGAACTCTTTTATCGCGTTCACACCAAAAAGAGCCGGTACTAAAATTAGTTCATGTGAACCTTTTTACCCCCACGAAAGTCCCTGCTAGAGAGCAGGGACTTTCGTAAGGCTCTCTTGTGAGAAAATAGCTATATTTCTGATTGGCTGGAAGGATTGCAAACCACGCCCCGTAAAACTCCCAAAAAGTTTTGTGAAGCCGCCATTTTATTATCCTCGCATTAGCATTATTAGCATTAGCATTAGCCCAGCGCAGAAACGCAGAGAGACTAATTTATGGCAACACAAAATAAAACATGGGAGCGGTGGAGATGAGGAGGTGTCGGCGTTCTGGCGATTTACTCTGGCGATTTACTT